CTGATTGATCATACTATAATATTTAGTTTACAGTAATGGAAACATGATTAAAAACATTGGAACCATGATCTTAATGTCCATCAATGTCCGTTAAATTAAATATACGGTGTTTTAGGGTCTCCATTTACTTATTTGTCCTCCACTCCCTACTCCTGGGGAGTAAAATCCCTAAATTATGCTCACAATTTAGGTATTGTTTTTTTCATTAAAAAGAAAAAAAAATTAGCCCTCTCTATAACCTAATACCTTGTCTGCTGACTTGGTTCCTTCTTATGAGGGAGATTTTAAAAATGTATGCAATTTGTTTCATGTTTTGCTATAGTAAGTTCCTCATGAAGATTTATCCTTAGCTTTATTTAAAATGATACTGATAATGAAAGCTGGGCCAGTCACTCTCCGCCTATGATGTCATGCTCAGATGACAAGCTGGTTGGTCAGTTGCAACCAATGGATCGACATTCAGTTGATCTGGGGGGGGAAAACCAGATTCTGCATTTGTGAGAAAAATCCTGACTCTTCTATCATTCTGTAATTTCCCATCCATCCATCCTTCCCTCCCTCTCTGTCTTTCTGTGTCCCCCTTGCCATAATATAAACATAATATAATTAAATATAAAATTGATAATAAATGTATTGTATATATAGCATAATATTTATTTTTCAAAGAATATAAAAACTAACAAACTAGCAAAAACTAAAAGTAGTAAAGAAAGAAAGAAGAAAGAAAAAGGCACAAATGCAAAAATGAATACAAAGAGCTTGCAATTTCCTTTGCAGTAAATATAAGCACAGGTACAAAGTTATCTGTTAGTTTATACATTATAAGAAAAAAGGTTTTTTCCCCCCTCTGTTTTTTCCCCAAACATCAAAATCGCAAATCATCCATGTACTTTTTTTTTGAGTTCCATGCAAAATGTCTGTAAGGAGTTTCAAGTAAGCCATAAATATAGGTATTATTTTTTTCTGTGATCAAAAGAAGCTAATTTAGCCATCTTCGCAAGTTCCATCATCTAATCATCAAAACTGCAAATTGCAAGTACATTTTTTTCAGTCTCATGCAAAAAGTCCATAAGGGGTTTCCAGTCAGCCATAAATATAGATATTGGGGGGCGGGGGAGGTGTTGTCTGAAATGAAAGAAATTAATTTAGCCACCTTTACAAGTTTCAGCATTCTCCACCAACCATTCCTCCATTGTACGTAGGATCAAACATTTCCATGTTTGAGCCCAGAGTAGCATGCTATCATTTTACTTCTTAATTCTGCTTAATGTTCAAGGAAAGGAGATGCTGTCTACTTGCTGCATCCCCAATTTCCTCCCTGACCCCCTTAATTGTACCTTGAAAGCTGCAAGGTTTCCTTTCTTTTTGTTTGGAAGGAGTGGTCATAGAGAGGTCAGTCCATAAATCAGATTTTTCTGCAAGTTAATGGCATCTCTGTTGGGAACTTGTCATCCTTCCAGCTTTGTTGTAGTGGCATTCGTGCCTCTGGAGATTTATCAGGCCATCAGGAGAGATGAAAATAATCTTGGATTGCACAACGTGAGCACACGTAGAGCACAAGTGTAAACAGAAAAATAAATCATGTTTCTCTAGAAAGAAGAGGGAATGTTTCCAAGAGTTCAGAAAACCCTCAGCTGTTGCAGGATAGCTATCCAACTAATAGTTTTCTTATTGATTACATGTTACTTTTTCTTTCTTCTTGAGTCTTTTTTATTTCTCACTTTGCCTTCATTTTATATCATAACTGGTTCTCCAGGCCAATAATGCTTCTCTTGGGATTATTTCATATGCTTATGGTTCTTCATCTGTTAAAGGATGGCTTGGCCGATATTACTTGGACCTTACCACATGCTAGGCTAAGAGGAAGGATCGCTTCTAAGAGTTTCCTGATCCTAGTTTGCTGAGCAAACTGTCATTAAAAGAAATTACAGCTCTCCTGTTAACCCGGATCTAGGATTTCTTCCTAGTTGGGCCAGTAAGAAAGGCTGAAAAAATGGAAGTCTTTAAACTCTGGTGCTGGAGAAGACTCCTATGAGTCTCTTCGACTGCAAGGTGATCAAACCTTGCCTAGAGGCGATCAATCCTGACTACTCTTTAGAAGGCCAGATCTTGAAGAGGAAAGTCAAATACTTTGGCCACCTAATGAGAAGGAAGGACTCACTGGAGAAGAGTCTAATGCTTTGAAGGATTGAGAGCAAAAGAAGAAGGGGATGACAGAGAATGAGGTGGTTGGATGGAGTCACCAAAGCAGTAGGTGTGAGTTAAATCGACTCAGGGGGTTGGTAGAGGATAGGAAGGCCTGGAGGAACATTGTCCATGGAGTTGCAATGGGTCAGACACGACTTCACAATTAACAACAACAGGATTTCTTCAATGAAATGAAAATTTTCTGTCCTGATAGAACAAGGAAAGGAAAGGAAGGAAGAAAGAAAGGAAAGGGAGAAATACTAGCAATTTGCTGTTCTGTGTTCTCTTAGCAAAACAGACCCACAAAAGTTGTTATGGCTGAACCAGGCCAAGATCAGATGCAACTAATTTTCTGTGTAGTTGTGTGCAGAGGGGTCTGTTTTGAGGGAGCTTAAGCCCACATCCTCCTGCTTTTAGATTAGGTGATGTTAAGGTAATTAGAGAAGAGAGAAAAGATGGAAGATGTTTTGCCAAATTTGCTATGCATTTGCAACTCAGCAGTTGATTAATTTTTCTGGAATTAGGGATGCCCAGTGGCCAATCTGGAACTTCCTTTGTGATTTTTCCATTTCAGTGTTTTGTTAGTGTTTCTTTTCTCCCCCCTTTCGGCACAGAGCTGGCTTGCCCCTCAGACTGGAATGCAGTGGGATATGCTCTGTTAAATTGCCAGCTGGATCAATGCAACTTCTGGCTTTTCTGTCTTCCTTCTCTCTCTCCCCCTCCCTTTTTTAAATTCTCTCACCTTCTTCAACTTATGGAAAAGAAATAGAGGCCAATGAGGATGGAGAAAGTATGGGGAAAGAACTCACATCCATTAAAACAGGAAAAAAATACCCTTTGCATAATGGCAACTACTTTGTGGAATATTAACCATTCCATATGGTGAAGGATCCATATTTCTTGCAGGCGGTTCCTTGAGACCTGAAAATTATTTCAAGAGTTCTGCCCAAAAAGGTTGAGAAAAAATGGACAGATGTAGGATTTAAATTGGCAATGAAAGGAAGGGGAAAGGGAAGGGAAGTTGATCCTGCAGGTGCAAATTATTTGAGGCTCCCCTCCTAAAATACTTGGAGTAGGTAAGAACCTTTTCATAGCCATGGTTAATCTTTCCCTTAAGCAACTTACTCAGGCTAAAGAGAGGAAGATTACTGGGGAAAGTGTGCTGGTGGTTCAGTCACTATCTTTCAGCCTGGTCTTCCTTTGGAAGATTGATATTCACAGGTCAAAACAGGAACTGGAGTTCTTATTTGCACACCTTTATCTAATGGAAGAAATACTGGATTAAAACAATTCTGCATTTATAAGTAAATAAAGATGGCTAACAGAACAGGTCTATCTTATTGGCTGGATTGTCTTGCAGGTGGAAAGACTGTAGTTGCCCAGATTCACTTGGCTGAGATGGGCAGCTACAGAAACTGAATACATAAATTAAAATGCAGTTCCTTAATAATATCTGGTACTTTTCTTTTTCTACTGCTTTAAATTGGTGGTGGTACTACTACTACTACTACTACTACTACTACTACTACTACTACTACTACTACTACTACTACTAC